GACAGCCAATCAGTGTGCACGGCCAAGGATGATTGGTGACGCAAGAGTCAGCACCGTATCGGGATGCAGGTGTCCTGAGGAGGCAGGTATCCTCAAAAGGCAGGTGCTATGCAGTGATGTCCAGGGTGTCGCATGTGTCAAGTGTCATGTGCCGTTCTCTCACAATCATAATAACGCTGTTTTGACGGCATGGCAAACGGGCCCAACCCGGAGGGTAGAACACCTGCGCCGAGGATCGCTCAGAATCCCCAGTGCATTCGCTTCATATCCAAGACCGGATCCAAGTCCCGGGAAATGAACGGTCCACGAATGCTTCAATACCTAGCTTGGAGCAAACACGCTTGTGCAGGGAAGCCCCGCTTATTCTGTTGTACCGGCTTGCTAGCAGCATGCAGGTGCAAAGTTTGTTGGTTCGTCGACCTTACGAGGCACGATTAGGGATAACCGAACTGTACGCAGTGCTGGCTTCGTGCGCTGCGCTTGAATGATTGACCTGTTTATTGATTGAGCTATCTCATGACTCGTGGACCGCGGCTTTGTCGGAAGTCGACGTCCTTGTTTTAGGAAATGATTGCTCATCGCTCCATACTCTTGCAGTGCTTTGCTTCGCGATCTTGGCTCATTCTCGACCATCTGAGGGACAGCGCAACCCATACCGCACAGTCGTCCAGGATGACGACTATTGTCGAAAACCTGTCGGAATGCTTGAACTGTAACAGACACCAGTCAAGTCGTTTACCACCCTCGCGGGGTGTCTCCTGATAGCAGCCAAAGCTGCCGGCGCACAATAGCAGACCTCGATCAGTTTCGAGAGGTGGATAGTCGTCGTTGGCAGGAATCTGAGTATGGTCAATTGCAGTGTGGTGTTCTCTCCCCTCTACGGAATCCCGTGCTAGCCAATGCGGAATCATGCCATCTCGATGATCCTGAACCTCGCTGATCCAAGGCTCTCGCGTTCGACGCTGGCTCGTCGCAGCCAAGCTGCGCGTGTCAATGGCATCTCGAGCTTCTAATCTTCCTCTCCAAGATGCGTATAGTGACATGTAGAGCATTGACTGTGCTGCAGAGGAGAATGATGAGCCAAAACGTGGTCATAGCGTGAAGAAGCCACGAACGCAAAGTGTGCACGGTAGAAAGATGTCTGAACGAAGGGAGGTTGTTTTCGATAGAGGCACTGGACTCAGAAGTGGGCTTGGTAGGAATGGTCGCAGGAATGGTAGGCGTAGCTGGGAAGATGGCAAGACGGGCCCGTCGAGAAGCACAGTGACTGAAACGACGAAGCTGTCGGGTGCATCCAGGATGTGATCAGAATATGCTGCTCCAGCCTCTGAGAACATAGAACGCACCCTAGACTTACAGTACTGTACAGTAGCAGCTAACGGAACTTGGCAAATCTGTTTCCCAACCATCCAGACCAGTCC